TTGAACTCTGTATTATAACATCTACAAACCTTCTGATGAAGTGTTTATTTAATCTGAACAGGTCCCACTGGTCCTTAATTATTTGTCATTAAGTTAACAGAGGCAAACTCCAGAACCATAAAATAGGTAAGAAAAGTGGCATAATTCAGCATATTATGAAGAAAGGAGCCAATGTAATGCTTAGTACAACTTTCACATAAAAATGTTATAATAAATTTTTTTCCTAATTTGTCTTAGAGAGTGGAACTAATTCAGTAGATCAATGGCAAAATAGCCTTCACTTCCTGACCTCTGTATTACAACATCGACAAACCTTCCGATGAAGTGTTGAATTAATCTGAACAGGTCCCATTGGTCCTTAATAATTTGTTGATAGCTTTCAGGATTTCGACCTTAGCGGATTAGCTACGAAATGTTATAATGTGGTGTTTCTCTTTGTTTTCTTGGTTTGATTCCATTCCTATCACATTGAGAGAGAGATATGAAAGCTTTAAGTTTTATAACCTTATAATAGTAATGATTTTATGGGATGTTCATTAGACTGTTTCACTGTACGTGATCTTTTAACAATCATATGTTGTCAAAACAGCAAACATGGTCTGTCTTCCCCATTTTTTTTCTTTGGTACCATCTTGCCCTATACATATTGATTTTGTTAGGTTAGTCTATTTTTTTTTTTTGAAAGGCAAAAGAATATTAATATATTTAATTGATGAGTACAAGGGGTACTCAAACCCGTGTATACAAAAACCAACTTGTTGCTTAAAAAACCAGCAACACTAAAGGGGTAGAACACCCAACAAAGAAAATAAAACCAACGTTCCAAGAAGACTAGTTAAAACAAAAAGACCAGTTCAAACACTATCTTTCCGGACGGGGTTATTCTTAAGACATTTGGTTGGATTCTCGCACCATTCAGATAAAGAGAACCCTTCCATACCTTGAATGTTCGTTACCCAGAAGAAAGATCGGATCTGAACTAGCTCAAAGAATCTGTCGAGCTTTGTCTCCTTCATCTGGAAAATCTTTTCGTTCCTGCCCAGCCACAGTGTCCATATTACTGCGAACCAGATAATGTTCCATCCCCTATCAAGTATTTTCGGACCTCCAAGCCATTTATGTTGCTCAAAAAACATTAAACATGAATTATCCAGTACATATTGCACGCCCCACCACTTGTAGCATTTCATCCATAAGCTAAAGGCCACATTGCATTGAGCAAAAATATGATCGGTCGTCTCCATTGAAGAATCACACCAGCAGCAATTTAAATTAGAGTTTGCATTACAAATTCCTCGGATTGAAAGGTTATCTTTTGTAGGGATTTTCTTGTGAAGCAATTGCCAGCAAAATGCACTTACTTTAGGTGGAATGAGGGCTTTCCACACCCTTATGAAGTCAGTTGCTGGCTTTGGTTCTCCCTTAAGGATCCATGAGTAAGCTGATTTTGTTGTGTAGGTCCCTGAAGTTTCCAGGTGCCATTGCCATCGATCTTCCTTGTTCTGTGATGGAGCTCTTAATTTCAGTATATTAACCAACTCTTTTTCAGCGTCTTCCTCCCATGAACGAAGTGGGCGTTTCCAGGAGAATTTCCATTGCCAGCCATTCTTCGACCAGGATCCCATATCTTTGACGCTGCAATTCTGATCTGTAGCTAGTAGGAATAAACGAGGGAATTTGTTAGATAGAGCATACCCTTCTACCCACACATCAGTCCAGAACTTAACCTTCTCACCATCCCCCAAATCCACACCAAAACCCAAACTCAGCCAATCCTTTTTAATACCCATCCCTTCATCTATCTTGCAAACATCCCTCCACCATTTTGATCCTACACATCTACCCTCCCTTAAGTAAGATAACCAATTCCCCTCATCACTCCCATAAATGTCAGATAAAACTCTCCTCCACAATCCCCCCTTCTCGGTAATCAATCTTCCCCACCATTTTCCCAGTAATGACATATTAAAGCACAATAAATTCTTTATACCCAACCCCCCATCGAGCTTACTTAGGCAAATCTTCTCCCATGCAACCCAAGCAACCTTCTTTGTCTCCGTTGTCCCCCCCCCAAAGAAATCTTCTCCTAATTTTATCTAACTCATCGATAACGCTTTTCGGAAGGAGATAGAATGACATTAAGAACACCGGTAGACTAGACAGCACAGAGTTTATGAGAGTTATTCTACCACCCAAGGATAGGTATCGGCCCCTCCAAGAAGATAATTTTCTTTTGAAAGTGTCGATTAGTGGCTTCCATGTATTCACTCTTCTAGGATCCGCTCCCAAAGGAATACCCAGGTACTTACATGGCAAGGACCCCACTTTACAGTTCAACAAACATGCCATATCCCTTTCCCATAAGTTACCTGTATTTATGCTGATCAGTGAGCTTTTCCCATAGTTAATTTTCAGCCCGGACACCAACTCAAAAGCCCTCAAAATGCATTTTGTAGTCCAGATATTTTCTTCCGTTGCTCTCCCTATTAATAGGGTGTCATCTGCGAACTGCAAATGGGAGATGCGAAAGCCCCCTCCTCCAATTGGTACCCCTTCGAATAGGTCTTTCGCAACTGCCGACGATATGATACCATTGAGGCCTTCCGCAACAATTAAAAACAGAAAAGGAGCTAGCGGGTCCCCTTGCCGTAATCCTCTACTCATGACAAACTCCTTTGTTGGGCTACCATTGAGCAATACTGAGATTGAGTTAGTTTACAAGCATTCGCGGATCCACCCCCTCCAAACAGACCCAAAATTCATCCTTTCCAGCATATAATCCAGGAACTCCCAGCTGACATTATCATAGGCTTTTTCAAAGTCGGCTTTGAGAAGGAAGCAACTCAATTTTTTCCTCTTAATCTCCTCAATAGCCTCGTTTGCAATGACGACTCCATCAACCAACTGTCTGTCTCCGATAAAAGCTGATTGTTGTTCGCCTATAATCCCATCCATCACCTTACTTAATCTATTTGCAAGGATTTTAGCAAGAATTTTATACATAATTCCAATTAAGGATATTGGCCTGTACTCTTCGACGCTTTGAGGATTCTCCTTCTTAGGTATCAACACCAAAAAAGATGAATTGGATCCTCTCACCAACTTGCTGTTGCTATGAAAGTCAGAAAGAAACTTCAATATGTCGCCTTTAACCACATCCCATTCTGTTTTCAAAAACTCGAAAGTAAAACCATCTGGACCTGGGGCTTTTGCACCATCACAATTCCATACAGCATCTTTAACTTCTATTTCAAGAAAAGGTTCAGTTAAGAAGTTTCTCTCGGCTTCTAAAATTTTCTTAAAGTTGACACCATCTAGAACAGGCCGATTCCAACCTTCCTCTGTGAATAAGCTCATGAAGTATTCTGCCACTCCTTGTTTCAACTCGTTGACTCCCTCAAAAACCTTTCCTTGGATTGATAACGAGTTTATCTCGCTCTTGCGCCATCTACCTTTTATGCACTGGTGGAAATAACTTGTGTTTGCATCCCCGGCTTTCATCCATGCCTTCCTTGACTTTTGCTTTGCCATATCCTCTTTGATTTGAATATTTTCCCATAGGCATATCATCATATCTCTTCTACGGAGACATTCCTCCTCGCTTAGCTGTTGTGATTCCCCTTTACCATCTAGTTTTGCAATTTCAGCTTTTGCCTCCTCAATATGTTTATCCACTCCCTGCACCTGATTCCGTGTCCAATCCTTCACACAGTTTTTCAGCCGCTTTAGTTTCTCCTTTACCACAAAACCTCCCCATCCTCAGATATTTGAGTTGTTCCACTGATTTTCTACCAATTCTCTAAATGAAGGATTTTGCAGCCACACATTAAATAGTTTGAATGGTTTTGGTCCCCAATTACGTGCTTCATTCTTCACCATGACTGGGCAATGATTTGACAATGACCTGACTAACCCCCACTGCTTCAAGTCGGACCAATTAAGCATCCATTCACTAGAAAAAAGAAACCTATCCAAGTGACTCATGCTTTGGCCATTTGGCTGGTACCAAGTAAATTTCCTCCCAATCATAGAAAGGTCCACCAAACTGCTCATCTCAATAAAGTCATTGAACTCCTTGAGCTCACGCCTCACACTTCTGCCTCCCTTCCTTTCCTGGAGGTTTCGAATGGCATTAAAGTCTCCAGCTATACACCAGTTCCCTTTTTTTGAAGTAACCAATTTTGATAAATTCTCCCACAAGCATCTCTTTTGAACCAGATCGCATGAGGAATATACATTAACAAAATAACATGGGGTGTTATCATCTCCCCACAGCCCAAAGACTCCCAAAAATCCTGCACCTTCAAAACTGCTAATCTTTTTGAAGACACTAGAATTCCATATTATTAGTATACCTCCTGATGCACCAATAGCAGACTGAGCAACCCACTCAAAATTATCAAAATCCCAAACCATCCTACAAAGGCGATTATCTACTTTCTCCATTTTGGTTTCTTGAATTAGCAAAACATCTACCTTCTGCTTAACCACCAAATCCCGAATCTCCCTTTTTTTTCCTATCCCACCTAATCCTCTAATATTAATTGATAGTAAAATCATGGGAAATGAGGCATCACCTGGTCATCTTTCTCGGATTTCTTCTCCTCTTCGTTCCTTCGCCTTCCCCTGTCTCGGCTTTCCATCTCTTTCAATTTCTGCATAATCTGATTCTCCTCTCCACGTGCTGTCACTCCTAGCTCTTTTGCCAGGGACCATAGAGCCTCCATGTTCCGTGTGCTACTCCTCTGTATAAAGCTTTTGTTGCAATTTTGGATGTTGCTGTCATTGATCGATTCATCTGCAACCAATTTCTCTAGGTTATTTTCGAATAGAATCTGCTTCGAGCACTTTAAGGAGTCTTTCCTTTGCCCTTTCCTCTTGTATTGAATCAAGAATCCCTCCAATCCCCTAGTTTTTCTGTACACCGAAGCGCATGATTTTGCCCTTCGCTTACTCTTCCTTCTCCCGCACAAGTCACTCCTTTTCATCCAGTTTAAGTCGTTCCCTGAGTCACTTTCCAGATCATCCCAAAAACAAGAGGCAGACTCACTGTTCTTTAATTTGGATTTCCTGTCGTTCTTCGTGCTTTGCTCCATTGGATCTGCAGTTGATGCCCCATGTAAGCCTATTTCAGCCTTATGATTTGGACCTATGACCATTTTTAAGCCCATTCCGGTCGTAAGAGACCCAACTTCCCTTCCAACCTCACAGCCCATTCCGCTTACTTCAATATTATTATTTTGATTGGACATGTCATAGCTGTCCACAGCTACATTTTTGCTCATTTGACTGGCATTCCCAATGTCCCCTTGTTCAGCTATGTTGTCTGGCGTTTCTAGGTGAACCCCTACCTTCTTTGCTTCTCCCAGCCTTGATGCATTTGAATTTGAATCACGAGACCCATTCAGATTTTCGCCCATATCCTCTGACTCTTCAACTACCTCGGTATTTGTTCTAACTATTTCATTTCCCATTTTTGTTGAGTAGTTTGGTTCGTCACAGTAGCTAGCCACTTCATCATCTCGGGATATCACCTTAGCGCCATTTACATCGACGGCATTCGGCATCACCACGTCATCCTCCGAGATGGCCTCAGCTCCGTCGCCTTCACCCTCAACGGACTGTAGCTTAGCTTGCTCCATCATATCCACCTCCAGGTCAAGATCACCAGCAGTTGAGCTTTCTAAAGAGCAACTTTTCTCATCATCCACATCACTGGGAGCATGAATTACTCTGTCGGATCTCATGGTGAAGAGGCTGTTAGTTGACTCCTTTTCTGTGAACTTTAATCTAAAAAACTTGCCATTAATCTTAGTCGTGAAGGATCTAAAGATAGAATCTGGGGATGGTGTGGTGATTAGGAAACGGGCGGCATCGAATCTCCTTTTGTAGCTCGTGCTATCATCTAAAGTAATAAAGTTTCCCCACAGATTTCCAAAAGTTTGGAAGGTTTCCAGCTTCCAAGCATGTGCTGGAAGTCCCTGACATCGGATCCATGCAAATCTCTCTGTAGCTATCGTCGCAGGGGACCAAGGCTTCACATCCTCAAACCATTGCCCCATCCAGTCTTTTCCGGTGTCAACAAGCTCCTTCAAATCCTCATAGTCCTTGCCTTCTAGCAGTACTAGTCTACCTCCCATTGGTCTAATATTGCAAAAGAAAACCCCCTCCATGAAGAATTTCTCTTGCAGATTTGGTATCAAGCTCACTGAATGCACAATACCTACATAACATTTTTCCAACCATGCATACTCGTCCTTGTCAATGTTGATCTCCATGCCAGACCATTGGTGGTAGTGGTGTTTTGGTTTCCATTGCCATTGTTGACGCCCATGCATGTTGGTCTCATTGCCTCCCATCTTACTTGCTGGTTCTTCCTCCTGTCTTCTGGTCATAGGCCTTTCATCCTTTCTTTGGCTCTGTCCTAGTACCACTTCAGCATATGATGGTCTTTTGATTCTGCGGTTAATGTCATGTTGAGTCCAGCTTCGAGACATAGATTGGTTGCTAGAGTCCTCCTTCACTTGGCCATCCCACTTCGAGAACCTCGGTTTGTTTGCTTGTAGTACATGGTCCCCGATCCTTACATTATTTAATCTTCTTTCCAATTCACCTTCATTCTTCACATCCAGAAATCGAACAAACCCGAATCTTTTGCCAAATCTGTCCTTCTTCTTCGGGCAATCAATCTCCAGTACCCTTCCTAATCCTAACCTGTTGAAGGTTTGCCACATCTGTTCAAACGACCACTCCTCTGGGAAGTTAGTGAAGAAGAAAGGAATCGCTTGATTGTAGATTCTTTTGTCATAGACACCCACTTCCTGTCGGAACCGCCCCCTATCCCAGGGATTGAAACTCTCATACCGCTGTGCTATCCGTTTACTCTGTGTTCTCTGTCTCGGCCCTCTCTTTCTCTTTCTCTCTCTACCTCTCATCTCTCTCTCATGCGAGTCTCTTGTTAAAGAGATGAGTCTCTTGTTAGGTTAGTCTATTTTGATGGTTGTATCTTTCGTCGTACAGAGTTGTTGGCTGTAAACCTATACAAAGTTGCTGAAACCTCATTGCCGAAATATCAAATGTTTTACTAGTATATAGAGGGAGCGCTAGGTTTTTGAAACTCTCATAATTGGAATCAGATAAGGGTTTAAGGAAGCAAAAACATTTAGTATGATAGAGCTGCTCATGAACTTGCTTTTATACTTTGTTGAATGGTGGGTTTACTTTAAGATATTATTAATAAAAAAGGGTTTTCTTTTTTGGCTAGATTAAGTCCATGTGTAAAAGTAGAATTTGGGCTAGGTTCTTTCTTTCTGACAAGATGGGGAAAAATAGAAAACAGTGTGGTGGTATTTATGTTCCGTCACACTCCCACTTTTTTTTATTTACTTTCCTTTAGAAGAATTCAGTGCACATTGCTAAGTTCTACAATCCAATATCTTTTAGAAAAAATACATACTTACAGGAGACATAAAGAATCCGGAGAAAATTCCAACTTGTGGTGGTCACCAAGTTGTCGTTACATACATATTCTACTGACATTAAATTAATTAGATTCTTTTTTGACTCGTGGTGATCACGAAGTTGTCCATTTATGTATACAAGTCTACCTACAATGAATTCCAATCTGATTGATCTTAACAACTCAATGGTCTTAACGTCAGAATCTGGAGAAGATATCTTATATGGTGTACCTACAATAAATTAATGCATCGTTTTTAATTCTTTTATGTTCCTTGTTGACATTGTTCAATCTATGTGTTCCATTGCAGCTGTTTATATACATAAGCAGTATACATAAGCAGAAAGGTTCCGCAACTCAAATAGTTGAACCAAAAGGTAAAATCTGGACCAATTTCCCTTGACAGCTTTCATTTTTGTTCAGGTAAATTAATCTTAATTTTGTTCTTATGACTCTAAGTGAATATAATGGTTTTGGGTAAACAATTTTTCTTTAAGGTTTTTGATTTAAGAAGCTCCTGCTCATAAATCAAAGGTCAAGTCTTCGTTTTGTATTTGCATGGATGCTTCCGAGAGAGGAAACTAAAATTTCCAAAGTTGATTAATTCAATTCTGTCTTGTTTTCTAGCTTGAAAGAAAGAGACCAGAGTAGGCAAGTCAACAAGTCAATGGTCTTCCGTTTCTTTTAAGTTGCTTGAGCGTGTTCCACACTCTGATTTGTATTGTTCAATTCCAAGATCAAACCATCTAGCTCACTGTACCTTTCAGTACAAAATTTCCAAACTGTCATCTTCCTTAGGTTAGACTTTCATAGCTTTATAACCTTTTTGTTGCTAAGCACATGATAAGATAAGAATTACAGGGCTCATTAAAATCATATTGTCCAAATAAGTAATTTTTTTTAACACAATCATAGTCCAAATAATTATGTACACCCATAATTTCAACATAACCATTTCACACCATCATGTTGCATTACTTCACTGAAAATAACAGAGTAAATCACGTGAGGAGGTTGTTTTAAGTTTCAACATGCTTCTTCACACTTCGAGGACTCAACCTATCTATTATGTCTTGCTGGTGTAATGATAATAACAAATAACAAATCAAAATCTGTTTGTGTGGTTTGCATCTTCTATTGTAAGAAGAGCTAACTACAGCTCGTCATGAAACTAGATAGGACTACAATCTGAGTTCTGATTTATGTGTACTAAATTATGATTTTATGTGTGTTTTATTGTATCATTTTGGTGTTTTGCTTGTTTGATTCCAGCATCTAGTTTGTAAGGAATGAACAAGAAGTTAGTTGCAACAGAAATAAGACTGAAATCTGAATTCTGCAAGTTTAATGCTCTTATTCTTAGAGATTGGTTTAGTTGATAGAATGGTTATTCCTTAATCATTTATAAAAATGAAATTAATTACATACAAATCATGTTAATGATTTTTTTTTTTTTTTAAGGAGCCCCTGCTTATAATTAAAATCAAAGGTCATTCTTCTTTTCTCTGTTGCGTTCTCAATAACTTTAATAGGATGCTTCCAGGAAACAAGATTTCCAGAGTTGGTTAATTGACTGGTGTTTTCATCAGAGACGAGAGCAGGTAATTAAGTCAACAAGTCAATGTTCATCCACTTCTTTTACTTTAGCATGTTCCAACTACCACACATTCTT